ACGTCTGGGAGATAGGCAGGTCCAGCAGCTGCCTCCTCTCCGCCTCCCTGATATTAGCCAGCCCAAGCCAAGGTGCCTGGCCCCGACTTGGGCTGCTGCCATGGAGCGGCCACTATCCACAGCTAGCGTCTGGCACATGCGCAGAGTCGCCGCCGAGGTGGTCCTCGCCTGTGACAGGAGGTCTCCACTGAGCGCCTGGCCAGAAGAGAGCGACATATCCAGGGCCCCCGTGATGAATGCCATGTTGTTAGTCAATGCGAGGACCTGTGCTGCATTGGCATAACATCTATCCAGCATCGCCAAGACATCCTGTCCCGCTCGGAGGGAAGGAGAGGTCTGGTGCCGGGCCACACGGATGCGGAGGGCTGCAGGGCCATGCGGACTGACTCCTCGATGTCCGGGACACCACCGGTCCAGGACCAGTCCTGCCCGCTGCAGTACATGTCGTACCCCAGAGCAGGCCTCTTGGCTGCTAGGGGCTTAGGCCACTCACGTGTCGCATAATGGACGAAAGGGTCCGTCCGCGGGCACAACGTGGGTTGCATCCTCCTCCTTATTTATTTATTTATTACTGGGACAGTGCATATTAATGAACATTTCTGTAAATATGCCAGAATTAGCCAAACGGCTATTTTTCATCCGTAGTCCCATGTCTCCTGAAAAGATAAAAACATGTTTGCTACACATTTAAAATAATGTGAGATATTTACAATATTTACAAGGACAATACATTAAAACCTTCAGTCACACGTCGTTCAACAAACAACAATACACAATCGCATGGAGACAGACATAGAACACATACAGGCGCACACAGAGCATGCGGCCAGTAGGGGGCAGCGAGAGCAGGCGGAGTCAGTGCTGACAGGTGTGATTATCAATGAGCCAGTGTTTTAACTGTGTTTTGTACGTGAGGTAAGAGGGTGCATTTCTGATAGTTGTGGGTAGGAGGTTCCAATCTGAGGTGGCACGGACAGAGAATGAAGATTGACCAAATGTGCTTTTCCTGAGGGGGGTGATACAGTCCCCTCTCGCTGCCCCCCTGGTCCTGGTGTGGGTGCTGTTTCTGGTATTGATGAACTGACTGAGAGGTGGGGATGAAAGACCATGAAGGATTTTATAGACCAGACAGAGATTGGAGAACATAACACCTTCCTCGAGTGGTGGCACCCACAGAGGTGAAGTCCTCCACCGTCTGGATCCAGCGACGACGTCCGACGCCGGAGGGCAAAGGGAACTCGGACGCACAAGGAAGACATCTCAGAATGAAGTAAGTACTGTGGTAGATCTCAAACGGCGCCAGAGTGAAAGAGGGGGTGCGGCCTTGTGCAGGGGCATTTATAGAGGAGGGTGGCTGGTGATTGGAGCAAATTATTTTGATCTCTCTGGCGTGTGACCTGGGGGTCACGAGTGATATCCCACTAGCGAAGTCCTAAAGGACGTAGCACCATGACGTAGAACAGCAGTATGTGTTGACAGAGGTGCGCCATTGTATTGTATTGTATTGTATGTACTTTATTTGAACAGGGACAGTGTACAGTTAAGCATTAACACAAAAGGAGAGATGCACGTACCAGGTTATAGCAGAGATGCTAATTTCCACCTGTAGTCCCTGGGCAGGCTGGTGTTATGTTCATTTAAACATAAATTAACCATAAGTTAATTTTATCATCAAACGGTATTTCCACATTGGTGAACACGCTCAAAGCTGTTGTCACGGGAGGATGAAAACGCATATGTTCACAAGCACAGAGTTCCCCATTGTCAACCCTGGTTTAGTCCTGGTGTAGCTGGCTGTTCACAAGTATTTTCAGTCTGTTCGCACAGACTGCTAATGTTTTATGTCATAAGAGCAGTTATGACATATGTTATATGTCATAACTGATTTAAAAAACAGCCTACTTATTGTGTATTGCTTTTCCTGCTTTGACGACAGTATTTAAAAACCATTTTAAATACAAAGCAAACGTGCTTATGCGCGTCATATTCGTCATCAGAGTGGTTATCGTCACAGAAGTGGACCCAAGTGTTTCACTGCCTCTCGAGGGTGAAGGAGACAGATCGCTCTCTAAGTAAGGATTGACAGAATCAATGAAAAAACTACTCTGGGCATTTTAACTTTGTACGAGAGCAGAGAATATGGTCAGAACCAAGCGGCTACTCCACCTTGTGTCCTGTCCTGCGCCACCCAGAGGCTACTCCACCTCTGCTGCTGTGACCCATCCTGCTCCAACCGGTGGCTACTCCACATCTGCTCCTGTGATCCGTACTGCTCCACCTAGAGGCTACTCCATCTTTGCTGCTGTGACCAGAAGGGCTGTTGCTGATTATTACTATTGTTAGCTTTTTAGTGATCAATTTGATTTTTGCTGCTACTGGACACCTGAATTTCTCTTACGGGGATTAATAAAGTATTAATCTATGGCTGCTTTTCTACAGTAACGGTACGGTATGGCATGACACGACATGGCGCAATTATTTTGCATTTCCACTAGGGTTGGGCTTGGGATCAAGGTACTTTTTTTTGTACCACCTCGACAGTGGTTCCAAGCGTGCCGAAGCCACACCATAATGTGACGTCAGCCGACTGCCTTACACTGATTGGTCAACGAGTGTCGTCACTGGAAGCAACGTCCGACCCTATGGTAAAAACAACTCAACCCTGCCATCTTTAAAACCGGCTGCTCTGCTATAAATATTAATAATTAATATAAATATAACATGTCACCCTCACACGAGATAAATGGGTCGGTTGAGGTCCACACGTTACTCTCTTTGGGCCGAAGAAAGAATTCAAAGGCAGCTCGAAGGCTCAACACGGAATGAGAAGGGTTTCAGGGAGATGGCCCAGCTCTTGATTTGTGACTAGTCTGTGGTAATCCTGGAAATAACTGGTTAGCTACATATCCCGTTGGCCCAAAGTTCTCACTGAAATGTAATTACTCGTGTAAAAGTTTGATTGTCTGTTGTACACGGTGAGCTAGCTACATTTAGCTATCGATAGATAGCTAAGCTAAAATGTCCTTCTAGTGGGCTGTATCTTGCTCTTTCAAGTGTTGTTATTCTGTTTTGTGCTTGTCGTGTGTATATTTGTTTGTTTGAGGAGATTACCAACGAGCAATAAATAACCACTCGTCCCCTCACATGGTCTTATTCATTTGACTGTACACATGCATAAAAGAGGTTCAAAAGTTCTACCATATACTTTTACTTCTATTTACATTACATACATTATATCTGTCAGTAAATCCGTATAACCTTGGTAAATTTATGAACAAGGATGGAGACATATTTGAAAAATATATAAAGGTTTTTATTTTTGGTCAAAACACAAGGGCACAATAAATGTTTAGGCATATGATTATTATCATATTTTACTTTTTTACTTCTTCTCACTCCTTGTTCGAGTTGATGCTTGGATTTAAATTACACATTTATTTTAAATAACTAGGTTTTGTATTGAACTAAAAAAAAACATTTCATTTCAAATGACAAAAAGCGATGCATCAGACCAATGTTACTAGTTACGCGTTGCGCATAAATTACATGGTCTGACAACCCCACGATGAGCAGATTCTTGGAGGTACCATTCTTAATGGAAAAGCACCCACACTCGCCCGCGCCGTGTCGTGCTGTGCTGTACCGTCACTATGGAAAAGCGGCATATCTATATTGTTACTGTGTTTGAAGTGAGTATGTTTACAGAATGTAAACAGCCCTGTACTGTTTACATCCTGTGCCACCCAGAGGCTACTCCACATGTCACCCTGAAAATTTTGATGCATGCCACAATGTACTAGTGTAGACAAAGATTCTATACATCTATAACTATAGAGATATATCTATAAATATATAGATTATATTTATTACGCACGCACACACATACACACACACACACACACACACACACACACATACAGTATATATAAGCTGGAATCCGGATCTTTCTGAAAATAAATCTACCTCCAGCAAATCTTGCGTTTTTTAGAGTCCATTATAATAATAGACTCATGGTCCATCCTCAGTAGCAAATGACCGAAACGACGCTACCCGAAACAAACGAGCCAACATCCGGTATCAAACACAGAAGTTAGTATTTTCTAGTGCACATGGTCTATTTCAATCTGGAGAGACGAGGAGACAAAATGCATTTGAAGTATTTTATTGAAGGTAGTTTGGCGCCCTAGGCCCCTGTGCGGCGTTCAGTCAGCGAGGCTCCTGCGAGAGTGCGCGCACAATCCCCCGGGACCTAGGCACTGGTGGCGGCATTCGGGCAGCAGGAAGAGGCATGATTGAGGCAGGGTGAGAAAAGGAGGAGGAGGGGAGGCGGTGGTTTGCAAGGCTTCGAGAAGGCCGTAAAGTGGGAGTTTTCTCCGCTTTTAAGTGGCTGGCCTGGCCGGCGTAGGTTGGTTGGAAATGGGCGTTTGCTGTGCGATAGGCTGGGGCTGCGAGGCCGGCCTGGAAGGGGTGGCTTTGCTGACGTCTTCCAAATTGAATTTCCGCGAGGCTGCATTACAGAACTTGCAGAATGATAAGCAGCAACTTTGTTCAAGTGTTTTTAACCCTGCAGCCTATACCTACACTGTAAAAACAACAACTCAAAATTGTTCACCTTACTAAGATTTTTGCATTCACTGACAATAAAATTTCAATTTGGAACTTGAACTGTCTGTTGTGAGCCACTTGAACTCACTTTCAAAAGTTACTGATAAAAAGTTCACCTTATTTTTTAACCTCTTAAGCTCAAAGAAAAAAAAAACATCCACTGGCAATAGCAGATAGCAAGATGTGTTTTTAAATAAGCAAAGACATTTGGGTATGCCAAACTTTTGTGCACGAGCCAAAACAGATGTAGGAGTTTAAGAGGTGTTAAATTAAGTCAATTAATTTTCAACTTAATCAACTACTGAAAGTGAGTTCAAGTGGCTCACAACAGACAGTTCAAGTTCCAACTTGCAATTTTATTGTCAACTCTACTTTATTTCTCTGTTCTCTTTCAGGCCTCTCCACCTCAGTACTACAGCAGCAGACAGACACTGGTGAGCTCTCCCTCCCAGACGCACATACCAGACGACAACATGCAGGTAAGAGCATCATCTGCTATTATCAGAACAAAGCAGCCTTCTATTCTTCAAGGGACCCAACACACACACACACACACACACACACACACTCTACAGCCTCACAATTATGTTGTACAATAGAAACAGTGTGGGCATATCCAACAGACTGTTCTTTACCACCCTGATTTTTTTCTTCTGTAGCCTCATTCCACAAAACCATAAGAATTTCACCCCAAAACCCCAGGGTTCCTAGCCTGGCCTTAGCCATCCGTACACTCCGCTCAATCATCATTTCCCTGCATGTAACATCTGGGTCTGGTCCCCACGTTTGTGATTACAATCGGTTGAATTTTGACCGACAAATCAGCGAGCGTGGGAGGCAGGTGTTGTAGTTAGTTGTGGGTGATGTCAAGAGTTTGCGTCAAATGGGCAGGTTGTAGTTTTGCAATGGCGAAAAATGCGATAGTTAAGTAATCCAGTCTGGTTCTATCAAGAAATTGAAGCCGGAGCAAGGGTAATGTATAGCAAATGTAATCGCTGGAAAAAATTGTGGCGCACCTCCCCACGGGCTCCGTTAGAGGCAAAGGAGATGGCTAGGCTAAATGCTAACAACAGACTCGGGCGCACTACATAAGTCACGGTAAACTCAGATCCAATCGTTTCAATCTGCAAAAGGATTTACCCCTCCCTCCTGTAAACGGAGCTCAATGGAGCACCTCCAGACCTTAGTACGAAATGTAATTTGTACTATGTTGTGGTACGACCAGGCTACAGGGTACCCTTTCTTATTCTGTTTTACTGCCCATTGCACATACTTGGATCAGGTGAAGAAGCTTCTAACTATGGTACACACAAGGGACAAATATGCATAATGACAGTATAACAAGACTGGGTTTTTTGACACGCTGTCTTTTCCTTGATAAAGCAGTCCTTGTAAAACATATCCTTGATAATGTTTTGCCCAATATGGAATTTAAACTTGCCGTAGACTTATTTTGAACTTTGGGCATTTGGGCATCACAGACACATAACAAGAACATGGGTATTTGACATGAGTTCAGTACAGTTCAGTCTTTATTTTAAAGGAACAGTGCACAGTAACATTAAGCTCAAAGACAGATGCTCTACTCTACTTATAGCTACGCAGCTAATTTTCATCTGCATTCCCTGCGGTTAGATGAAAAAATACAATACAATACCAATACGGTATACAATAACATACAAAGCCTCACACTTATATTTTACAGACAATATGTGATGGGTTTGTGGTGTGAATGTAAAATGAAAGTGAAGGTTGTGCCGATTAAAATTACTAAAAAGGAGAGCGACGTTGTTTCCAATAAAACAAACTGGTAAAAGATAAATTTGTATTACAATAAAATGATTTAAAATGTTAAAAGATAATTGAAATAATTAAAACTAAAAACAATGGACGGTCCAGAGAGGGTCCGGATCTCCTTGTTACAGTTTACATAATACCTTATGTATAACCTTTCCGAGTTGTCTCACTTCAACAAGGCATTTCAATATAAGTCAAAAACATGGCTGTGGGAAATTCCCTAGTATATTAACGGCAACAATAGGCATCATACATGTACTATTTATTTTGTCCAATTCTGTCCGTCCTTGCAGTTGCAAGAGGTTCTAAGCACAGTGATGATCCGGGACGTTTATTAACCTTCATGGACATCCGTTATTCCGCTCCCCTGTGGACCAATGGTTCCTATTTGTTGTCCCCCCCCCCTCTGTTCGATCTGTTTGATTCACTCATCTGTTGTTGGTGAATTGACAACTTTGTAAAATCCTCTGAGACGATTGCTGTTGGGAAGTAGGCAAGGCATGTTTTTGTGCATATAGCACAGTTCATACACAAGGCAACTGAAAATGCCTAAATAATTAAGGTTGACCAACGAGCTGTTCATTTCATCTTAAAAAATAATGTATTGCATTTTGAAATATTGGCAGAATTATGCCATATTTTTCTGTAAATGTTTTTTTGGCATTAACATTATTAACATTCTGTTTTCTGTAGTAGACAGTATTTTTTTTATTTAAAAACAAGCAAAAAGAAGGCCTCTTGCTCAGTAACAGAAAACCGTCTACAATCCATTGAAACCCACTCGGCAAGGAACTACTGATTTATTTTCTAATGAGTTCATATAAATTTGTATTACTACACACAAGTTGTATTAACGTCTTAGAACCCGCCGTCCCGCTGAAGGGACGTTTTCATTTTTAAAATGTTCTGCTGGCAATAGCAAGTGTATTTTTAACTTTCTAGCAAGTCATCAGTGGGAGTCATGAGGTGAGCTCGAATCCACAACCTTCAGGCTCAAAGGCCAATGCTCTACCAACTGAGCTACTGTCGCCCCCATGTAAGTTGCCCAACTTTTGTCCACAAGCCAAAATGAGGCGGGTGTTATTAAAATCCATAATTTAATTGAAAAATTGAGCCCATTGATTCAGCTTGTGTATGAATTCAGGCCATAAAAAGTGCTAAGTAGAAACTTTTGCGTGAGGCTCGTTCTCCTCCACTTGCAGAACGAGGGGTGGCGCTGTTGCAACCAGGCCACGCCTCCTCTAGCGCATTGATTTCTCAACCCGACCCACCCGAACCCGCAGACATTAAAACTACTGTTTTGCTTGGCAAAATCAAAGGACAACTCTTTTTCAGATAAAACAACATACAATGTTTAATTGACTGAATAAATAAAGGTAAATTTACAGAATGGATCGGGACATTTTAAACATTTCCTTAAAGATAAAATTTCCATGGGTTCGGAGCAAATAACTGTTAATGTCAGGCTTGTTATTGAAAATATATTTTGCTCACTGGAAAGCGCTTGTGGCCGGGATGCATACAATTATAAACATAGGGTAATCACGTTGGTGATCTTTCCAAAAAGAGAGAATATCGTTATGGCAAGAGAAACTATTGGTAATAAAGACTGAACGTCATCATGTGCCTCAAACAGCTCCGCTGGTGTGTCTGCCCACTCAGCCAAAAGCCGACGCCTTTTCTCTGGCATCCCTAACATTTATAATAAATACTAGGGGTGCAACGGTTTGAAAAAATCACGGTTCGGTTCGTACCTCGGTTCAGAGGCCACGGTTTGGTTCATTTTTCGGTTCATTTTTCAAAAAAAAAGTTTTGTCTTTTTAATAAACACAGCTCATGTGGGCTCGGCACCTGCTCTGACTGCCCCCCCTGACCTAGAAATGAATTAAGGGGAAGGAAATGGATGGATGGATGGATGGCATATTCCATCCATCCAATTATGTCTATTTAACATAATTAATGAAAAACAACACAAAGTGCAACATAAGAAGGCACTTTATGAGGATATTTACCCTCATATATTAAACCACCTTCCTGATTCTCCCGAGGAGGCGGTCCATTCTGGGCCCAGCCTCATTCACTGCATTTATTTATTTTTTGGCATTATCAGTTGTGACTGGGATATTAGTACAGGGCCTTTGTCTTCCATTCCTCCGCTGCTTGTGTCAGTACCTGCGCTGTGTGACTTTGTGACTTTCGTAGAGGGGGCGTGTCTGCAGCGCCAGACTTTTCATCTCCCAGTCTGCGGTGATGAAGTGAGCGGTTCCGCTCATGGATCTATTATAGGTTTCGCGGGACGTCCAAGTGTCAGTCGTGAGCGCAGCTGAGGATGCGCGGGAGCCCGGTCTGACTATGCGTAAAGGAGCTGCTTAAATGCCGCGACAATAAGCGGTCGTTGAGACGCTTTTTTCACTCATGTCTTTCTTGTGCCACAGTACTTACACATCGTGACAGTTTTGTCGAATATTAATTATCATCCATCCATCCATCCATTTTCTTCCCCTTAATCCATTTCTGGGTCGGGGGGGTTGCAGTCAGAGCTGCACCCAGGACACAGCACCAGCCCCTCACTGATCCTCCTACAGGTGGTGAGTCCACAGGAGCGGAGATCTTTCAGTGGGGGCTTTAGGGAAAGTGGGGTTAAGTGTCTTGCCCAAGGACACAACGACAGTAGTCATCAGTGGGAGTTGTGAAGTTGGTCTTACGGTGGGCTTGAACCCACAACCTTCAGGCCCAAAGGCCAATGCTCTACCAACTGAGCTACTGTCATAATATTAATTATCAGTGAAGCCAAAATGCTCTCATACTGGGGATTTAAATGACGCAGGGCTCTCAAGCATCTCCGTTCCTCCGCTCGCAATGACCGCGCAGTCTGTGGACTGAACAACGTGCGCACAACTTTTTTTTCATAAATCAAACCGCGGATTACGTCTGTACCGAACCGAAGACGTTGAACCGAACGGATCACGGATCAGTGATGAACCGTTGCACCTCTAATAAATACATAAATATAATAATCATAATGAAGATGCTTTCAAATAATTTAGCAAGCTGTAAACTATTTTATAACTCCACACGGCTCCTCCCCTGCCAAACTTCTCTCGCTGCTCTCCATCTCCTCCGCAAACCACTAAATAATGAGGAAAAGGGAATATTCACTCAATCTATTTTGAATGTTACGCATACCATATTAATATAGGATAAGCACGCGTAACACCTGTAGCCCGCGTAATTACCATAGATTTTTAAATATTAAAGTAATTACGCACCTGGTTCAGAAGGCCTCTGCTGTGAGGCCCTCACCGTCATCAGTCTACGCGCCTCTGTGTGGATTACACGTCTTTCATCGGGCTGGAGCATTTTGAGGCTTTTAAAGCGGGGAGTGAGGAAGGTGGTGATCCACCCGCTACACCCACTCACTCTGGCCTCTGTCCACTCCCTTATCCAGATGGCCACGGACCTAACGCCTGACGCTTGTCACAATGAATTTTTCGTTTAACAACCTCCCTGCGCGATTGCAAATGTACTCAAGGTATTTGGGACTCCCACACCGTGGCTCACATATATATATTATGTATAGGCCGAACAGGAGCTCTTTGACCTGGCCCACCCGCACCCGACATGACTCATATTTTTGAGGCATCCAACCCACCCGAAACCGCAGCACCCGCGGGTTGACCGCAAGTTTCGAGCCGACCCGCTCATCACTACAATACAGCATAGAAAGCTACTTGGATGCTAGAGAGTTAGCTATTTTTAGACTTTTGGAGAGAGGTTTTACTTCTTGTGTGGTCGGTTGTACGGCCCGCTGGGGACAGATTACGTTTTTTTCGGAAAAGAAAAGCGACCATGGTAAAGTGGTTGCCCTTTTATACTGTTACCTACGGTAAATGTGGAACGGGAAGCCGGGGGAATAAAAATTCATAAACAAATTTAAGTTTTGCAACTACTTTCACTGCACACTTGTTCACTCATTCATTAATTCATAAATGATGATTAATTTTAAACATTGCATTTTGGTTGCTCATCCCCGCGGCTTCCTGTTCCACCTTTACCGTAAGTAACAGCAAAAAGGGGCAACCCACTTTTAATTTGTGGCAAAAGGCCGGGCCACTTTACCGCGGTGAAAATGTGAAAACATTTCACCACGGACCCTTCTTGAGTGAAGGGTCCCGGGTTTTCTACGAAGTAAGAATAAATGTCTCAGAGTCCCAGTCCCAGCAGATCGGTGCCAAGACCAGTGAGTCGGACCAATGTTTTTTCTCATCATCCCAGGTCTCAAATGGGCTTTGAATTTGTTCAGTTCGGTCTCATACACTTATTTTTAGCTTGTCTATATATCTCCTTTGATCTTCTTGCCTTAAAGTGCTTACAGTATATACAGTGCTATTCGCCCACTGAGTCTTTTAAAAGTACTCATCGCATCCATTCTTCAGTTTGTGCCCCTCTGTCTTCTTGCCACCCTGCGAGGGGCGCATGTACACGCGGGTGTAAACAAAGATCCTCCTATAGGCGGGTCATTTGGCAAATTCGTCAAATGCGTTGTTTTTTTAAACACAATTAATACAATTATTTTATTGTATTAATTGTAAAGATCAAGGCTATGCTCACACTCAGAGAGCAGCCGTCCTCCTGTGTGTGTGCAGAGGATCAGTGAGGGGCTGGTGCTATGAGACTTGGGTGGCATCTCTGATTGCCACCCCCCTGACCCAGAAATGGATTAAAGGGTAGAAAATGGATGGATGGATGGATGGATTTTATAAACGTGCTTTAACGCAACCATTTTCACAGCCCTATAAAAAAATTACAATTATCTTTTCTTTTCTTGCATAACCTTAAATCACAACAGTAGTCATCTCAGAGGACTTAACAACCCCTTTGAAATCGCCAACACAGATTAAAAAAAAAGAACACATATGTATTGGTCCATAGGGTGAAACCAATGTCCATGAATGCTGATAAAGTGTCCTGGATCATCACCATAGTCCTTCTTGTTAGACACTGTCCAGCAAACTGACTCCATATACAGCTTGACTGACAACCTAAGATTTTCAGCCTTCCTCATGGTTAGCATATGGTTAGGTCTTACCTACCTACCATATGCTAAATTGAAGAGGACTGTTTTTAGCCTTGCATTGAATGTAGAGACCGTGTCCGACCGAAGGAGAGACAGCAGCAGCAGTTTGTAACAAAGGTTGAAAGATGCAGCGGTTCGCCGTACCAGACGCACGACCTAACCAGACAAACAACCTAACCATATGCTAAATTGAAGAAGCCTGTCCATGAATGTAGAGACCGTGTTTGCTTCCTTAAGCGTGTATACTCACGCGGTGCCGGGTACGGTTGCTGGTACACTCGCGCGTTCCCCTTGCGGAGTTTTGAAGAGAATGTTATAATCCCACACCCAACCACATGATGGAGATCTCACAGGAGTTGCCTGAGAAACCAAAGCGGTCCCATTTGCGCCAGCTACTTTCTCCTATTCAGAACAAAAACATTAGAAAACCAAGTTGTTTGAGCTCATTAAACGTGTATCTAGTGCAGGTTTATGTGATAGTTCTATGGACTCATTATTTCATAAGTCATTTCAACTGTGATGTTGTGAATAAAAGACACAGTTCTTGTTGGAAACATAGTTATTATAAAATTTTATTCAGCACAAGCAGCAAAACAATAAGTGGTAAATATCTGAGACAAAACATGAACGATTTACAAGTGCAGGAGGAATGCAAAAGACGCAATGAGCTACGAGTGCAGATTCAAACAAAGACAGGCGCAGGAACAGTGCAAAAGAAACGACTGTACAGTTTATTAGTTGGATATGGAGGGTGCACCCACTGCACAGGACTGTAGAGGAGCTGAGGAGCTCCTTCAGTGGAAGACTGAGGCACCCTCAGTGTAGGAAGGAGCGCTACCGCAGGGCCTTTATCCCCACCGCTGTCAGACTGTACAATAAGTCACTTTAAATGATCACTGCGTGAAAACCTGCACTACTATTGACACTGTTTCCATTGACACTTGTCACTTTTGTTGTACATAATTATTGTCACTTTTATTGTACATATATATCCTGCATTTAACATGTTTGCACATTTCCTCCTTTTGCACAATCCATGCCAAATGTGACATGTAAATTTCTCCTATGTGAGATAAATAAAGCACATCTTATCTTATCTTATCTTATGCAACAGAATTGAACAGTCCACAGTCTCCGCGTATATCAGGCTCTGAGCCATGAACCCAAACTACTTTTCCTTCGGTTCCTTCGAAGCACGAAGCTATCTGGTCCGAAGTGCCACACGCAAGGGTCTTGCAGATCTCAGCTATAGCTCAAGATCCACGATGCCGTCCTCTTAACCAATCAAGTGCTGCAAGGGCTGTCAATCATTGCGCTCTTGCTCATATATAATTCAAATATTAAATATATATATTTGAACGAATATTAGACAGCCCTTAATACTCGAAGCTGTAATGGGCATTATCTTTTTTAAATGATATATATAAAATAGTTAGTTCCCAAAGGTTTCGCCGTGACGTTGCTAGACCGGACGGGTAACAGCTAGGCAAGCTAGGTTGCTTCAAAACTAAAACTCTCTGGAACTACATGAGAACTGAACAAAGAATTCTGAACATCAGCGGTGAGTGACTCTAATATAAACTCAACCTAAATCCATAATCAGACCCTCTGCAAATGCGTCCTAAAATGTTGTACTAATGTTAATGGTTACTTCCGGGTTTACCGCCATCGCTTTTTTGCGCATTAAAACAGCATTTTTGTCATGAAAACGTTAACAGATCATTCCGAAAACCTTGCGGTTTTGACAATGTATATGTATAATGTATTCTCCGATTAACATTTAAATGTATTGATTGATTGTTATTCATGGTTAAGGAGCGTGGCTATCTCTGATAGCGGGTGCTGAAAGCTCGTTGTGACAAAGTGTACGAACTACTGTCCAGAGTAATCTTAGTATTTTACACACCTGAAGTACAAGCGCAGAGTTAGTTGCAAAGGGCAGTGGCCATTATTGGTTTGAGAGGTCCGTTATTAAGAAATAATGATCAGTAGAACGTTTTGAAATTAAATTCAAATCATAGAGCGTTCTACTGTTGCTGTGATGAACTGTATAACAAATTATAAATATTCAAATATTTAAATAAATCATCTCTCCTCTGGCTTGTGCACGAAAAAGTAGGTGCGGCTTCAAGACCAATTAGAAAGGAAGGGGGAGGGAGCTTGGGTTGTTTTTTTCAAATCGTGTACTCTCTCTCTTTTTTCAGACAAAGTCCAGACAATCACTTTAACTGGATTTGCACATTGTCAGAGTAGAAGCCTACTATGATTTAGGGCTACACAATAATACAATTGAATTAAATTAATTCACTGTCATTTGCAACAGAATGTTTTATTACCATACCTTTTGAAATAAATGTGGCTTATATAAGGCGTATAAGCTGCACCACCTAAACTTTATGTCCACATAGCCAAACTGGAACAGTTGCAGTTTTTCATGTTGTAATGTAGCAGATAGACAACTGTTTTAACTGTTCACAACGATTTAATGAGAAGGTGTTTAACAGCTTAAACGTTATCTTCCGTGCCTGAACTCATTCACCATATTTTGACAATAAACGAGTGTCCTGTAGCTATTTAAACTTGACGGAGTCAAAACAATAAGTCCATAAACTGCTCTGACAACTCTACCACAATAAAAATACAAATATTAGCCTCCTTGCTATACAAACTGCAGGGTTGAAAAAATTGGAAAAAATAGTCCAGAAGTTTGAGTGTGCCCTGTGCCCCCCCCTCAGTCTGGTCAGCTGTTCTACGTGGGCCTGCCCTCCAGCTACAGCCTGGAGGCCCCCATGCCTAGGCTGCCCTCCTATGAGAGCGTGAGGAAGAAGGACCGCCAGAAGCACATCCACAAACTGATCGCCGACCGCTTTGGACTTAGCGGCTCCATGCCAGAGGAGGTGGGTACATTCAGGAGCCTAGGCTTTAAGAGCCACGTCTATCTAATACATTTATCAGTAATTTAATAATTTTCTAAATAATCCTTATCCACTAGTTTGATATACAGGCGGCTGCATATATGAAAAAAAAAAAACACCTAACCCCAAAAAAATTCTAACAAAAGGTTTCTCAGATGTTTTTTGTAGTATTAGGTGTCCTTTATAATATACTAAAAATTTACCAAAGTTTAACCACTAGAAAAGTGTAATTTTCAAGATGGCGTCCAAGATGGGCAGGAAGCCCTTAACATATCCTAACTCCTTCATCAATTTGACCTGTCAAGTAATCTTGGTCTATCCCCATGTTTTCTGGGTCTATGAATCCATTGGACTTGTCTAAATTGCACTGAGATTATTACATACTTATGGAATACATGATTTTGTTATATTACTGTAAGGTTTTATCTTTGGGGTGAACCATTCTGAAGTCCTTCAAGTAATTATAAAAACTATTTGCTTAAAAGGACGGCATCTTCCATGGACTAGCTCTGACTTAATTAATCTTTTTAAACGTCGAGACCAAGCTTGGACTAAATACAGAGAGTTTAAGGACCCTAACGACTGGGAGATCTATAGACAACTCAGGAATCAACTCAAACTAGGAATGCCAAGTCCAATTACTATAAGGAAGCCCTCGGTCTGAACTACAATCATCCTAAACAATTTTGGAAACACCTGGACCAGCTTCTGGGTAGGTCCAAAAGAAACTCAACCAATCATGTTACTGTTAATAATACTACAATTGCTGATCTTAACTTAATCTCTGACTGCTTTAATTAATATTTCTCCTCCATAAGTAGTACACAGAACTCTTACCCAACTTACCTAATCCAATAAATGACGTTGCTCCTGAGACATCATTTTCTTTTAATCAGATTTCACATTTGGATGCAATACAAGCTATAAACGAGCTTAAAACCAACAGTGTGGCTGGTCCAGACGGCTTAGAAGTAAAATACCTTTTATTGGGATCCAGTGTGCTTATCTATCCACTAACCGACCTGCCACTAAGTATGTGCTCTGTCCCTCTCATCTGGAAAACTGCAAGGGTTACTCCCATCTTTAAAGGTGGAGACCACTCCAATGTAAGTATCTATCGGCCCATCTCTATTATATGCACTAAAATTATGTAAAAGTTCCCATGTTATCCAATGGAGACTGTATGGACACACTCACAGATTGTATGTGCAAACAGGAGCACATTTACAAACTCTGATTTGCACTAAACTTGACTCGGTTGTTCAACTCCTGGGCCAAGGTCACATGACAGTGTGAACAATGACATTGGCCCATTAGCGCCCCCTACAGACTGAATAAAGGTTTACATGGGGATAAAGGTATTTAGGTTTTCTACCCACTTAATAAACACAAAAACTCACCAAACTTTGCCAAAAGTTTTTTTCAGGCATAAAGTGTATCATTTAGGCGTTCTTTGGTATAAGACAAAAAATTGAAATTGTAGGGGGCGCTATTGTGCAACATAAATGTCAACATTTGCACATAGAAAGTCCGAATTGCACAAAATTTGAATTGATTTTTCAACTCTTGGGTTTGGGTAAACTGAAAGTGTAAAAGATGAAATTGCAGCAATAGCGCCTCCTACAGACTGAGTCAAGTGTTACATGGGGAGAATGAGGTTTACCTTTTCAATAGAGATACACAATCTCTGATCATAGGAATTCAAAAGGCACAGTGTCACTCCCGTCAGCGCCACCTCCTTTGTGCGGTGCACTGAGGGCCGTTCGGCGCCGCTTGCGGCTTTAATATATAACTGTACTTGTAATCAATTATTTTTCATGCAAATTTAATAATTAGAATATTATATGACCAAACCAGATATCAGACACCAATATTCCTGGTCTAAGAGAAATACAAAGGAGTTATGGTCATTTTAAGGACCTGATGGCCGCCATTTTGAAAATGGTGCCTTTTTTGGAGTCAAACTTTGGTAAACTTTTAATATGTTTTTAAGTACATCTGATACTACTGTAAACCACTGAAAAACCTTTTGTTAGAATTTTTTTGGGGTCAAGGCATATTTGCAACTGACTAATAGTCAAAGTGTTTGTGTGTGTTTTGAAAATTTGGAACCAAATATGCCGTACCCTTTTTCAAACTGTATTTTTGAAAATAAAATACTATGCTATTCTATTATAATACTATAGTATATATTTCATTATTATAATGATATCTTTCATATGACTCTGTACTCTTGATGCATTTACTTTATGTCATAAGCAATACATCAAATTCACACTATACTTCTAAGTCTAAGTTATTTCACTTGGATTTAGAATCAGAATCAGAATAATTTTTATTGCCACGTAAGTAACAGGAAGTCACAGACTTGGAAATTGCTTTGGCTCAGTGCAACAGTCAGAGAGATAATAAAAAATAAAGAATAAAAAACACTTCTAAGGAATACATTTAAATTTAAAATAGAGTTACAGTTACTATTTACAATATACAAGTGCACATGGTGCACACAATTATTGAAGTTGTGGCAAACTTTTCCACAAAACTCTGTCAATTAATTGTAATTATTTATAATTAATGAATTATAATTCTTATATCAGAAGTTAAATTGTTATATAAATCCAACAGGTTTGCATCATTATATTCTGATGAATGCTGTTAAATGGTTATTGACAATGTTATGTTGGATTTAGTTAACACTATTAGTTATGATTTAAAGTAGCATTATGTAATATTTGCATGTCAAGTCATCATTAAATGGCCCCAATATTTCAAAAGGCGTTATTAAATCATGCTCTTTTCGAATACATCTTTAACTGATAACAGTAGTTCAGCCGAGATATAGTTTTATGACCCGTAAAAGTTGTTACTGTTTTCATTAGGATGTCCCACCCTCCGCTGTTTCACAAGTCAGAAAGCCCGAGATCCGGGTTGCCAGAACTCCCGCGTGGAGTATTTTACTCACTGGTAAAATAGCATGTGGCCGCAGAACTGAAAAAGGTCTTATTATGACTAGGGCTGGGTGATATGGCAAAAAAGTAAAATCTCGATTTTATTTCCTGCTTTGGACAATTTCGATTTTAAATCGATTTTCATCAAAGTCACCGAAGACAGACTTTGCCCTTTCCGCTCAATATTCAAGTTTCAAAACTATTTTTTATTTGTTTCCCCCATATGTATTATAAAAGTCCTGTACAGACTCTGCTGATATGGCAAGTATAATTCATGTTCTGCTGGAACTGTCACAATATCCGATTTTCAAATTTTTCACAAATTCGATTTTTTCAAAAGCCGATTAATTGCCTAAATTCGATTTATTGCCCAGCCCTAATTATGACTCTCAAATCATTAATGACAAAACAAAGACTAAAACGAGGATTTATATCGGGACGCCTTTGAAAAATTGAGACAGCGGATAAAAACTTGTGTGATGCAAAACTTGCTGCTTTGAGTACGTTCTTTATTGACAGTTAAAGTACCTTCCCTCGATTTCAACTATTGTTGTATGCAATGGTGGTCTAATGGTTAAGCTATAACGCTGTCACCCCAGTGACCCGGGTTGGAATCCGGGAGGAATCTGTTTGTACTTAATTTAGGGCTGTAAAACGATTAAAATGTTTTAGTTGATTAATCGCATAGTAATGGTGAGTTAACTCACGATGAATCGCATTTTTAAATCCACTCCAATTGAAGTTAAATGAGTTTATCAAATGTAATGACACATTGTCATTCATACCAAATGTGATTAAATCTGTTAGATTTGCTCACAACCTTTTACTTTTGGGCACAACCAAAATGAGCTGTTAATGAAAGGGGAAATTTTACGTACCCCAGCTTTAATTTAGCAGTTTTAGTTTAGTTTCAGGAGGAGACACGGACACTTCTGCGGTGTATTTGCGTGCACAGGTTACGTACAAGTTTTAAAGACAAGCACACAACTTGCAGAGAAAAGTCCTGAGGCGTGTATGGTCTAACCGCGGCACCATTTCCGGTGTAACAACAGAGCGGCCGCAGCTGCCCCCGGGGTGTGCCCGGGGAGGCGGACTTCAGTTCATAGCAAACAGCCCAGTGGTCACGCGCGTATTCTTTTAAAACTTGAATTCCCAGAGGGCCTAGCTGCTCTGTCACCATCACACACACGCAGGTGTCCGCTGCATTTGGGGGGGGTCATTCGGACATGCGTCAAAATTTTTTTAAGCGTTAATGAAAAATGTAATTAACGTGAGTTATTGCGATAATTTTGACAGCCCTAATTTAATTATATAAGAAATATGTTCCAACATCCATTCTTCCCACTCCTATTTTGGACATCAATTGCTTATTTATTGTGCATAATCTATAATTACATATAAAAATGAAACATTCATTCAAAACATTCATTCAACATTAGCACGCCTCATGGCAATGTGAATGGAGACAGACAAACAACTGATACAATAATTCCCTGTGTTTGCTGCTGGATTTGGTGTGTATCTGGCAACCTGAGTCAGGGAGAGTGGGAGAGGACTACAAAATATTGACTGTGACTGCAGTACCACTTTTGGCCAGATTTTTACATATTGTTCCTTTAATTAACACTATTGAATATATATTAGATACCTTTTAATATGAATGTGAAATCAAAACTAGTGTAGTGTAAAATGTAGATAAAATTGTTCTTGTCATCTATGGTCTATTTCAGGGGTCTCCAATCTGTGGAGCTACCAGTAGCTCGCCAGCCACTTTCAGGTAGCTCCCCAAAGGATTTAGAATTTAACACACGATCTTGAATTAATACATACAGCATTGAGTTGCTACAGATCTATTATAAATATAAATATAGGGTTCTACAGTATTATAGTGTATTTTACTCTCCATGTTTGTGTTCTCTCTTATCGTAATTATTACATGGATCTTTATTGTCACTGCAAAAAAGGAGTAGCTGTCTGCATCTTTTGTTGTAAAAAAGTAGCTTTCCGATTGCAGAAGGTCGGAGACCCCTGGTC